ACTAGCCTGTAGTGTATTGCCTCCTGTCTCTCTCCCTTCTTGTATATTGGAACTACATTAGCCGTCTTCCAACTTTTTGGTAGTTCTGTCACCGAAAACATATTATATATACAGTACAGTACCTTGAAAAGTTGCAATGCTTCTGCTCCCTCTTTAAGTATCCATGGTAAGATTCCATCTGGGCCAACAGCCTTTGTCACATCCAGTTCTGGCAGTTTCACCCATGGTAATCTCAAATTCCTCCAGTGCCTGGTTAAACACCCCCTTATCTTAGTTCAGGAACTTCTCCTTACTCTGGAGCGTACTCTTGACTGCGAGCAGCTGCGTCCAACAGCCTGGTTGACCAGTTCAGCAACGAGGAGGCCTGGTCGACGACCGGGTCGCGGGTTCTAACAATCTTCCACATCACCTTGTATGATGTGCACGTTAGGGATATTACCTACCTTTACCTTGCGATGATTTCGGGGCACACACTTACACTTCTTACACTTTCAGGGCACACCTAACACTTCTCAGCAGCTGCGTCCAACAGCCTGGTTGACCAGTCCAGCAACGAGGAGGCCTTGTCAACGACCGGGCCGCGGGGTCGCTGAGCCCCGAAATCACCTCAAGGTACCTTTACTCTATCGTGAAGACCTCATGGAATCTCTCTATTCTCAGTTAATCTTTCTGCCCCTATTCTCAGTGTCACTACTTGTTCCTCCACTGTTGTTTTCCTCCTGATGTAGCTGTGAAGCAATTTGGGTTTGGTCTTTGCTTTATTTGCCAAGTCATTTTCATACTCTATCTCTTCCTCTCCTCTCACCCTGATGTACTCAATTTCCCTGCTCTCTGGTTTTCTGTTACTCCTGTAGTTTCTCCATACCCTTGTACTTAGTTGCTTTGCCATCTTAAATCCCTGATTAAACCACAGGTTCTGCCTTTCCATTTCATTTTTACCTTAGGACAGGGACAAACTTGTTTTCTGGGTCGCATCCGATCCCTCAATTGGTGTTGCCCCTAAATCAACAACTTATTTTCTGTATCCTAACACTTCTGGATTGGGATGTCCATAATATCCTGTGCAGCTTTTCCTCTGAGCTTTGTTGCCCATGGTATTTCCATTAGGAATTTTCTCATCTAGTAATTTTCGTTTTGGTATGCCAGCCATTTGTTTTCTGGTCCCTTCCTTGAGTAAGTTGCCAAGGTGGATTATAATCAGATATTCAATCAATACACTGTGATCACTCATTCCCAATGGGTCTTCCAAATTTATTGCTTTCATGTCTTAACTCAGAGTGAATACCAGGTAAAGTCTAACTGGTTCATCATCACATTTAATTCTTGTGGGTCCCTTGACATGTTGGCTTAAAAAGTTTTCCTGCTATGTCCAATAGTTCAGCTTTCTATGTTTCTATAAGCCCCATGTTCTTCCAGTCTATCTTTCCATGGTTGAAGTCTCCCATGATTAGAAGTCAGAATCGTTTCCTACAGGCAACTGAAGCTGCCCAATCTATTATGTGGATGGAGTTACCGTATTTATGTTACAGACTGTATAGGAAATGCCTATGTATAAATTAACCAAATCCCCAGCCTGCCTGATGAGATTGAAGATGTGGAACCCAAATGGAATTTCTGAACTATACATGAAAATCAGTTTGACTGCTACTCACCTTGGTAAGGGATCAGCTAATCTCCTTTATTTCCAGTATACCACGAGACTTTATTGCTTGTCTCTGTAACAGAAAAAAAATGTTAAGTATTGTACTGGTTATTATCACATCTTGCAAGTCTTGTAAATTTAATTATCGAGCTTCCACACGACACCATCACACACATACAGTACATCATGTCTCACACGACAATACGGTTTTCAACCTGGAAGATAATGTGTAATGAATCTACTGAGTTTCTATGATAGACCCACATAGATTCTACAGGAAGGAGATGGTTGGGTTGAAAAAGACCCTTGTGAAGTGTTTAACTCGGTATGTTTAACTACAGTATTAAATTTAGAATCCCCACCAGTAGTTTCAGCCAGCCCTTCATTTGAAGCCTCTCCCTTGGACTCCGCTGTTCTATCCCGGGCAGCGGATGAGAATGCTGGCTCTGCCCCAGGCTTCAACTGCAGCTTCGAGTATACAGGTTGTCAGACATGGGCCCTTGGCTATCATTCAACTATACAGTATGTGGTTCATGGTTTCCTTTGAGGAGGGTCTGCTTTTGCAGGGGAAGTTGTTTTCATATTCACTCTCCATGTATGAGTATGATTTGGGTGCGGCTCCCAACAGGGTTCGGCTTTCATCTGCCTTTGGGCCTGTCAGGATTGTCCTTCCAGAGGTTTTCTTCCTCTCAGGTTCCTCCTGCAGCAGCTCAGGTGCTTTTTACATATCTACTGTGAGACCCAGATTATACATCACTGATGAATTCTACCTATTTTCAGTTTGGGTGATCTTCTCCTAATTGGATGTGTTACATGGTTTAGGAGTCTCTCTGGCTGGCAGACAATTCCTTGTTCTCGCTTGGTGCTTGGCACAACTTTTGTTGTACAGTACCCACACACTTGAGTGTCGTGAGGCATTGACTATGTTGCAGGTGTTTCCAGGGGCTTTTCTTTTGCACCCTTCAATGACTGGCTCTTCACTCCCGCTCTTTCTTGGAACATAGACATAGAGCTGCACGAGACCCCATGTTCTTTTGTTGTTGGCAGCACTTGTGGCAAATGACCTTTGTGCCCATCTGCATTTGCAATGTGTTATTTCCTGGGTCTTCTTGAGCTGCATACAGACTGGCTTCTGGAGGATGTTGGGGAACTTGGTGGGATCCACATACAGGGGTTTTTACTTCCACTGTTGTTGCATCGGCTCCACTCCCCAAGCTGTAAACTCCCATGCCTTGGAAGGCAGTGGCCCCATTTTTTGCTATTCTCTTTGCACGTCAACAGGCTGTACTGTCTCTTTGAATTCGCTGTAGGCCCATTATGTGATTATCTTGAGATGATTTCGGGGCTTTTAGTGTCCCCGTGGCCCGGTCCTCGATCAGGCCTCCACCCCCAGGAAGCAGCCCGTGACAGCTGACTAACACTCAGGTACCTATTTTACTGCTAGGTAACAGGGGCATAGGGTGAAAGAAACTCTGCCCATTGTTTCTCGCCGGCGCCTGGGATCGAACCCAGGACCACAGGATCACAAGTCCAGTGTGCTGTCTGCTCGGCCGACCGGCTCCCTCTGCTCTCTCTAACTCTTTCCACTGCTGCCCACAGGATAGGTATGGGGTACATAATAAATTAACTGAACTAATTCCAGGATGTGTACTGGTACATCCCTATACATCCTGTATTCTGGTATTTGCTAAGATTTGTGGTGGGGTAACAAGCATATTGCTTTTGAGTTCTCCCATTTGGGCTCAATCTCATTCCATACGTGTTCACACACTTGGCTTGAGTCATCGTGGCTTATTTTCTCCATTTGCTGGGGATTCTTGTTTTGCCCCACCTTGATGACTGGCTGATGTGGGCCCCTGTCCGTCTCTTTGGAGCTCGACGCTTCGAGTAGCTCATTTGCTGGGTTCTCGGGATTAATCTCTCTGCGATTTTATGTAAAGAAAATGTCCAGTGTTTTTACGAATGGTCATCCTGATTTCCATTTCCATGAAGTGGATTGTCAATGATGCCTCCCCTTCCTTTGACTTTGAGACGTATAGCATCATGATTATTTGGCAACAGCATCATGAAAATTTAATTCCAATATGTTAAGAAATGGATTTTTCACGAATTTCTTATATATAAACACATGCGAGACAGGCGGCAACCTGTACTGATTATAACGATAACACCTATTTACTGGAAATCAGGAATAAAGAGATGCAAGCACCTGTCTGATGCACAAAGAAGAAAAGAAAGGAAGGAGGGTCCACAAAGTGGATATGTAGCTGATGCCACCTGGAGAGCCAGATTTCACACATAATAATGAGTTCGTATGTTATTATACATATTTTAATATATATCATATACTGTAAATATATTGCCCAATGGCAATATTTCTTATGTCCCTTTGTACAAAAAGCTGACTACTATTTTTTCTCTCTCTCCTTTGTTTCTATGCGGATTTTGTTGTAACTTCTACATCTTGGAGAATGCATGTCTGGCACTAAGCATCTGAAGTTGGAACGAAATTGGTCAACATGTTAATCAGCCACCGGTGGCAGAAGATGCGACTTATTTTTTGGGGGCCAATTTATTTACAGATTTCAAACTCTGTGCTCTTTGTCTCCTTATTTTATATTGATGAATGAGGACCAGATGAGGGCCTTATCAGTTATATATATGCGCAATAAAGTTACTGCAAGATATATATGTTTGTTATCCCTAACCTATCCCTATATTTTTTTTGGGGTGGGGTGGGGGTATTTTTTCTTGACTTCATTTCAACACACATAGACCTACAACTTTCACATATTCGAGTACAAAAGCCAAGCAATGTTTATTAAAACATACAGAATAAGAAAATTCATTAATTAGAACTACCACATTCATTGTTGATAACTTTAACTTCAATTATTTCTAAAAAAGGAATTTCAACTTTGAGAAAGCTTCAAAAACTCAGTTTGACAGATTCTCACCATTTTCAAACATTATGTGCAAAGTTCTTAGTTCTAAGGTGTCTTAAGGGTCGTTTAGTCATAAATCCATAACGTTTGAAATTATAAATTTTATGCGTCTAAATTTTGCACTTATTAGGATGGCCACATTGAAAAAATGTTTTACAGTAAACTATACTCTCAAAGAATATCTTCCCTTTAAAAATTTAAAATCTTCCCTTTAGGAACATGAACATAATATGCCATTCTGAGACCATAATGAATAAAATAACAATTGTAACATTTAATATTTTTAAACCTAACTTGAAATTGTGAATGTTTTTTTTATTTTATTTTTAACCTTTTTCTGTTCATGGAATGATGCTGATCCAATAGGAAAAGTTGGAGCATTTCCCATGAAGATATTATTCACGAAAAATTGAATGTGTTTGAGGAAGTTTCGGTACTCAAGTACCAGGCCTCTTAAAGGGCGGGGAAGGAGCGTGCAGGGAGGAGCGTGCAGGGAGGAGCGTGCAGGGGGCCAGGGAGGAGCGTGCAGGGGGCCAGGGAGGAGCGTGCAGGGGGCCAGGGAGGAGCCTGGAGAGAGCAGTGAGGAGCCTGGAGAGAGCAGTGAGGAGCCTGGCGAGAGCAGTGAGGAGCCTGGCGAGAGCAGTGAGGAGCCTGGCGAGAGCAGTGAGGAGCCTGGCGAGAGCAGTGAGGAGCCTGGCGAGAGCAGTGAGGAGCCTGGCGAGAGCAGTGAGGAGCCTGGAGAGAGCAGTGAGGAGCCTGGCGAGAGCAGTGAGGAGCCTGGAGAGAGCAGTGAGGAGCCTGGAGAGAGCAGTGAGGAGCCTGGAGAGAGCAGTGAGGAGCCTGGAGAGAGCAGTGAGGAGCCTGGAGAGAGCAGTGAGGAGCCTGGAGAGAGCAGTGAGGAGCCTGGAGAGAGCAGTGAGGAGCCTGGAGAGAGCAGTGAGGAGCCTGGAGAGAGCAGTGAGGAGCCTGGAGAGAGCAGTGAGGAGCCTGGAGAGAGCAGTGAGGAGCCTGGAGAGAGCAGTGAGGAGCCTGGAGAGAGCAGTGGAGGAGCCTGGAGAGAGCAGTGAGGAGCCTGGAGAGAGCAGTGAGGAGCCTGGTGATAGCAGTGAGGAGCCTGGAGAGAGCAGTGAGGAGCGTGTAGAGGGCAGTGAGGAGCCTGGAGAGAGCAGGGAGGAGCGTGTAGAGGGCAGTGAGGAGCCTGGAGAGAGCAGGGAGGAGCGTGTAGAGAGCAGGGAGGAGCGTGTAGAGGACAGTGAGGAGCCTGGAGAGAGAGCAGGGAGGAGCGTGTAGAGGACAGTGAGGAGCCTGGAGAGAGCAGGGAGGAGCGTGTAGAGGACAGGGAGCCATAGAGGAGCAGAGCCAGGTGTGGGAGCCTCAGGGAGCAGGCGGGTGCAGCAGCTGCACCAGCCACCGTCTACTCACCCCGTAAACACCATTATCGCTCAGTGAACTTTTAAAAAAGCTCAGGTGGCGAGGATGAAGTATTCCATATGAGCACACACACCGCCAACACCTGACCCTCACAACGCCAAGAGTTGACTGGCGACAACCAATGAAAATCGAGTTACCAACAGTATTTTATGTTCTCTTAAAAGATTATATACATCAATACACCGCAAACTGTCTCCAGTATTTCTTGTCGTTTGAGTCATTTTATATTATGTATATACGTGCAGTCGCTGGTATAGACCAAAATTACATCATATGTCCATATAAAATGTATTGGAACCTTGTGTACCACTCGTCCATATTTTCAGTGGAATCGGTGCTCATGGGCCCCTGTAACACTGACTCCCAGACACTATCTCGCTGATACTGGCTCACTAACACTGGCTTCCTGACACTGGTTCCCGTACACTGACTCCCTTACACTGACGCCCTTACATTGACTTTCATTCACCGACTCTTTTACACTGACTTCCTTACACTGACTCTTACACTGGCTCTCTTACACTGGCTCCTTTATACTTTCTCCCTTACACTGACTACCTTACACTGACCTCGTTACACTGGCTCCCTTACACTGTCTCCCTTACACATAGGTAATTACTGGCTCCCTTACACTGAATAGTAACAGGAATCGATAAAATTGATAGGAAAGAATTCCTGAGACCCGGAACTTCAAGAACAAGAGGTCATAGATTTTAACTAACGAAACAAAGCTGCCGGAGAAATATAAGAAAATTCACCTTTGTAAACAGAGTGGTACACAGTTGGAACAAGTTAGGTGAGAAGGTGGTGGAGGCCAAAACCGTCAGTAATTTCACAGCATTATATGACAAAGAATGCTAGGGAGACGGGACACCACGAGCATAGCTTTCATCCTGTAACTACACTTAGGTAATTACTGGCTCCTTTACACTTTCTCCCTTACACTAGTGACGCCCTTACATGTACTCCCATATTCTGACTCCTTTACACGGGCTTCCTTACTCTCACTCCCTTACACTGGCTCCCTTACAATGACGCCCTTACACTGGCGCCCTTACATTGAGTACCATACACTAACTCCCTTAAACTGGGCTCTCTTACACTAACTCCCTAACATTGGTTCCCCGTGCACTTTCTCCCTTACATTGACTCCCTTATACTGGCTCCCTTACACCCCATACCCATCTTGTGGGCGATAGTGGAAAGGGTTACAGAGGTACATAATGGGCTCAGGGACTGAACCCCACAATTCATTTAGTTAAGCAAGTCTTGATGAGCTAGTTACAAAATTCAATGCACATCGTCACATCAACAATAGGCTCGAGACCGACCACAAGTACAGTTTATAAATTAAGCAACTGACATGTGTGGAGAGCTAGTGTCACAATTGATATGTTTGTCCTGCACACCGCCCCCCATCCAGTGGGCAGCGGTGGATAGGTTACAATCACCCAGTTACTACCTACAGTTACCAACCTGGGGGTATTTGGCTAAGATTTCTGGTAGTAATTGTGGGGGTTCCGTCCCTAAACCCATTATTTGCCTCTGTAACCCTTTCCACTACCGCCCACAAGATGGGTATGGGATGCATAATAAAAGAACTAAACTAAAGATCATTTTGAATGAAATATTTACACATCTCTGGAACATTTGTTATAGAATTGTCTCTGAATTCACGTATATTTCGCACTCCATCACATAGTGACGGAGGATGTGCGAATAATTTTATTGACAGTTTACAATTGGATACTTGTATGTGCATGGGAGATAGGCTTACAGGTTCCGGAAGATGAGAGGAAATGTCAGCACTGTGGAGAAATGCCCGACAGACCACTGGAACATTATCTAACACAGTGTACAGTTACAAACCCAATAAGATTTCAACTTAGATTCAACAGAGCAGAAGTTGTTAAACACATATGGCAAAATCTTACTGAAGCGATCATACGAGTCATAAGTATTCATACTCCGCCCAAGTAAAACAGAAACAAGCAACACTTAGTGGGCCAGCCAGGGCGCACAAATTCAGTGAGTATACAAATCACAAGACAAGAATCCCATTTTCTGAGGTTGGAAGAAAACGCGCTCAGATTGGGGACGTGTTTATTTTATAATAGTAAATAATAAATCAATAATATTAAATTAATAATAAATAATAAATTAATAATAAATTTTATTATTATATAATAAATATAATAATAATAACAAATAGTATAATGATAAGCAATTATTTTTAATGAATCAAATAGCTAATTAGGGTGAATGATAAATAATTAGTGACTAATGCATAACAATAAAGTATTAAAGAATAATTATAATGAATAAGCATTATAATGATAAAGTATTAAATCAATTGCAATTAATAGTTACATCTGTAGTTAGTAATTGAAAGTTGCATTATTTGAATTTAAATAAATAAATAAATAATAAATAAATGTTTATTTAGGTAAGGTACATACATACAAGAGATTTTACAAAGATTGATCGATATATAGATAGAGCTAGTACATACAGTGCCTAAAGCCACTATTACGCAAAGCGTTTCGGGCATGAAAAACATTAATGACTAAAGCTTAATACTAATTGAGTATAAAGTATAAAATGTGTTGAGAACAAATAAAAATAAAGATAAAAAAGGGGGGAACATGGCTGAAAAAGCAGCACAAATACAATTATGTTGACAAACAGCGTTTTTAAAAAAAACATACATGGGTTGACAATAGTGGGGTAAGGTAGGTTACAGGGAATTTATTAGGTAGTGCTTCGTTTTTATCTTAAACTGGTTGAGAGAGGTACAGTCTTTAACATGGTTGGGAAGGTCATTCCACATTCTGGGTCCCTTGATTTGTAGAGCATTTCTAGTTTGATTAAGTCGTACTCTTGGAATATCAAAACTGTACTTATTTCTGGTGTGGTGCTCATGGGTTCTGTTATAACTTTCAATGAAGCTTTTGAGGACAGGATTGGCATTACAGTTTAGCGTTTTATATATGTATAATACACATGAGAGAATGTGCAGTGACTTAATGTCTAACATATTCAGAGATTTGAGTAGGGGTACCGAGTGATGTCTGGGGCCAGAGTTGGATATTGTCCTAATAGCAGCTTTGTGTTGAGTAATTAGAGGACGTAAATGAGTTTGGGTAGTAGAACCCCAAGCACAAATACCATAGTTGAGATATGGATAGATAAGGGAGTAATAGAGTCACCAGGGCAGGGCGGGGTACATAATATCTGATCTTAGAAAGAATGCCAACAGTTTTTGAAACTTTTTTTGATATATTTAGAATGTGACCCTGGAAATTCAACTTGGGGTCAATGAGAACGCCAAGGAATTTGCCATCTAATTTGTTACAAATTTGGGTATTGTTTATTTTGAGATTTATTTGATTAGAGGATTTATTGCCAAACAGAATATAGAAAGTTTTGTCAATGTTAAGGGTGAGTTTGTTGGCAGTTAGCCAAAGATGGACTTTATTTAGCTCAGTATTTACTGTGGCATTTAGAGCAAGGGGGTCAGGACTGGAGTAAATGAAGATTGTGTCGTCAGCAAATAGAATTGGTTTGAGGTGTTGGGAGGCATTTGGAAGGTCATTAATGTAGATGAGAAAGAGGAGAGGGCCAAGTATGCTACCCTGAGGAACACCAATGTTGATGGGTAGGGTGGGAGAAATGGAATTATTCACAGAAACATACTGGAGCCTGTCAGTAAAGTAAGATTTGAGGTATTGCAGGGAGTGTCCTCTGACTCCATAATGATGTAATTTAAGAAGAAGGTTTTGGTGGTTGACAGTGTCAAAAGCCTTATGCAGGTCCACAAATAACCCAACAGGGAACTCATTTTTATCAAGAGCTGCATGAATCAAGTTAATCATACTAATAAGTGCATCGTTAGTGCTTTTTTTTGGGTCTGAAGCCATATTGACAAGAGCTAAGTATATTGTGTTTGGCTAGATAAGAGTAAAGCTACTTGTAGATTAGTTTTTCAAATATTTCAAATGTTTTTTCAAATATAAATAAATAAATAAAAAATAAATAAATAAATAAATTTTTGACAAGTTAGGCAGGGTTGATATAGGTCTGTAGTTGTTAACATCTGTGAGATCACCACATTTGTGGACAGGGGTTACTCTCTTTTTTTTAGAATACCTGGAAAGGTTTGGAGTTCAAGTGACTTGTTGAAGAGCAATGCAATAGCAGGGGCTAAAGATCTGGAGGCTTTTTTGTAAATTAAAGTTGGTATCTCCTCAAGGGCACCAGACTTGGTTTTAAGGGAAAAGATTATCTCATTGACGTCAGTGGAATTAGTAGGCTTTAGGTACAGAGACTGTGGATAGTTACCTGTAAGATAGTCCTTAACATCAGTACTGGAAGATGGAATATCATTTGCAAGGGATGGCCCAATGGAAGAGAAGAACCTATTGAACTCAATAGCAGAATCAGAGGCTGAAAGCTGACCATCGTTATTGGACAGGAGTGTTGGTTTGTTATTTAAAATCTTCTTTTATCCCAATATTTGTGAAATTGTGCTCCAAGTTTTTTTAATGTTGCTCTCTATTTGGGTAAATTTATCTTCGTAGTATTTAGTTTTGGCTCGTCTAATTATTTTAGATAGCAATAATGAGTAATTCTTTGA